GTAACTGCAATTTTCTGTTAGAAATTTTGTCTAGAAATTAGACAGTTGAGCTTTGACCAATTTAATGCCAATTTCTTGCCACAGTTAAGTGAATTACTAGTGTTACTAATGGTTGCTAAGTGAATCTGGCTTCCCCATTGATTTTGCTCATCATAAGGTCACAAAAGGGGATTGCAGGTCATAAATATGAGCCAGTTGCCAAGCATCTGAATTTTGATCATGTCACCACGGGGATGCTGCAACAGTCATTAAGTATGAAAAATGGTGATAAACCACTTTTTTTCAGTCTTGTTATAACTTTGAGCAATCATTAAACGAACGGTTGTAAGTTGAGGACTACGTGCAGCCCAATGTACGGAAGCTGCTTGAAAATATAGCTGCAAGCAAGCTGCTAAAGATGTGAATTGTCTGAAAAGCCAAAAACACCTGCAAGTATTTCGGTATTCAGGGTGCATGTTGGATAAACAGCTTTAATACGTGCAACACAATGTTTAAAGCCAGACTGGCGTTAAGAGTAGTGTTGGTGTTTATCCAAGCATTTTTATAAGTATAAAATTACTAAAAAATTGCTACCCTTTGAAACTATATTAGCATTTAATCTTTTTTTTTTTTTTTTGCTTTTTGGTCATCCCCCAATGGAATATAATTCTTCTTTTCAAAATCTGGCTATATGCTTGCGTAGCATGAACAAGAAGCGTGACTCAAGACCATATAATTCATATTAGCAGTCTCTTAGGGCACATTAGATATCCCTGAGCAGCTAATTCAGATGTCTTTGACAACGAGAAGAATGTGGGCACTGAGCCTCTTGGTATACATGGAAACTATTATGTGATCATTTAATCACATGCCCAATTTTTGAGGCAAGTTGGCATGCCACCAAGCAGTTTCTGAAAGTTAGTCTATGAAGCCTGGTAAATTGCCAACATCTACTGAGCAATAACCAGTAATCATACTGTGGCAGACCATGCAAAACAAAGGCAAATCGTTGGTGTAAAAAAGTATAGTATATCATAAAAATGTAGCAGTTACCAAAACCCTTCTTAGACTTAAAAGATTAATTTGAACTCCTACCAAGAATGTTACAAGCTTGGCTTATTCATCCAATTATTTATACGTGAATTGGGAATAGTAAACTATATAAGTTGCCATATATCCAGAAAGCAACTTACTTTTTCAATTTACAGATTTCAACTTTGCGTAATTCGTATCTCCCAGATCCTTACCCATCTCCACTGCCTCCCTGTTTATTGCCAAATATGGAAATATTATTACTTATTGCCCTGGAAATATTTTGAAATAGGTAATCCAATTATTTGTACTTATTTCAAAAATCGTGGATCACCGTTCAAAGCAGCATACAAAACCCACAACAGTAAACAAGTCCACACAAAAGGTTTACTGAGAGCAAGAAAAAGGGGCTGAATTCACAATGCAGGATTTGTTTCATGAAAAAAAAAAGAAACCCTCAAAATTCTCCCTTGTTGAAGACCAACCCAAAAAGGGTTTTGTCCCCCTTTTTTAAAAAAAACTGATCAGACTAAAGCAAGATTTAAAAACTGAACAACTTTTGCAAGATAGTTAAAGCCAATAGTCTAGCCATCAGTTTAAATCATTGAAAAGAATAACAGTTGTTACAGGGCCACAAGGAACTAAAAACCTTGGGCAATATTTAAGAGATTTCAGAAAAATACACCCAAGAATGAAACAAGAGTCAATTTAGGCTATCTGCCTAAATTTAAAGCACCTAAACTCTTTAAAATCACTTGCATCTTTTCTTATTAAAAGAAGCAAGACGACCAGATACTATATATGGCTAGATTTTAACAGAATAAAATTGTCTATAAGATTATTTTATTCCCCAATTCTCTTATTTAGCAGCTCACAACATAGTGAGACACAAAACTTATTTAAAGAGATGCAAAGAAATTATCTCTTTTCAGCTGATACATTAAAAAAAAAAAAGAAAATATGCTGAGGACATAGAAACAGTGCAGAGAAGAGCAACTAAGATGATCAGGGATTTGGAGGCTAAATTGTATGATGAAGGCTAAGGAAACAAGGTATGTTTAGCCTAAGAGAAGAGAAGGCTTAGGAGAGACCAGATAGCAGACTTCAATACTTGAAAGGCTGCCACAAGGAAGAGGCATCAATTTAGTTTCAACAGCACTTGAGGGTAGGACAAGAAGCAATGGATGGAAGCTTGTCAAAGGGAGATACAACCTGGAAATATAAGGAGAAATTTCCTGAAAGTGAGTACAATAATCAGTGGAATAGCTTGCCCATCCTGGAATTGTGGATGCTCCATCAATAGAGGTTTTCAACAAAAGATAGGATAATCATTTGTCCTAGATATTATATGGACTCCTGCCTTGAGCAGGGGGTTGAACTAGAACAGTGGTCAGCAACCTGCGGCTCTGGAGCCGCATGTGGCTCTTTCACCCCCCTGCTGCAAACTCCGTTACTCAATCGGCACATGATTTATTGAGCTTTTCAACCCCCAGTAGGCCAACCATGGATAAATCCAAGAAAAGAAAAGTTTCAGAAGAAAACAGAATATTTAATTCAACTACATATGCTAGTTTTGTGGCCGCTCAAGAAATAGTCAGGCACGGGAAAGGTTTTGTGGCTCCCGATGTTTTCTTTTCTGTGGGAAACGGGTCCAAATGGCTCTTTAAGGTTGCAGACCCCTGGACTGGAAGATTTCCAAGGCCCCTTTCCAATCCTTTTATTCTATCTTTATTCTATCTTCTAACACTGGAGCTAACAATCTGGGAAGAGCTTTATGTTGGAAAAATGCTTGGTTAGTTGCCTCTGAGTCTACCTTAGAGAAGAGGAAAGCTCAAACTCTTTCCTAGATCAAGATGAAAATAGGAGAAGTTTCCACAGACATTACCAACCTAAAGAATGACTGAAATAACTGCTCTCTGATAACTCAATCCCTGTTCAGGCCTGGCCAGTACCGTACTGTAACTTGGATGAATTTCATTGCTATATGACTTATACAGACAAACATATACAGGCAGTCCTCGAATTACGACTAAAATTCAGCCCAAAATTTCAGTTGTTAAGTGAGACATTGGTGAAGTGAGTTTTGCCCCATTTAATGACTTTTCTTGCCACAGTGGTTAAGTGAATCACTGCAGTTGATAAGTTAGTAAGCCGGTTGTTAAGTGACAACCCTCTGGAATCAGCTCCCCCCAGAGATAAGGAGAATCCAGGACCTCAGTGCCTTCTGTCATGCCCTTAAAACCCATTTTTTCAAGCAAGCCGGGCTGGCTTAAGAAGAAATGTTTAAATGTTTTTTCAAATGTTTTAAATGTTTTAATGGGTAGTGAGTTTTAATTGGGCCAAATTTATATATCTTTTAATTGTTTTTTAATATTTGTCCTGCATGTTTTTTAATTCTGGCTGTACACCGCCCTGAGTCCTCAGGGAGAAGGGCGGTATAGAAATTCAATAATAAATAAATAAATAAATAAATCTGGCTTCCCCATTGACTTTGCTTGTCAGAAGGGATCACATGACCTTGGGGCACAACAACCGTCATAAATATGAACCAGTTGCCAAGCATCTGAATTTGTTGTTGTTGTTGTTAGTTGCAAAATCGTGTTCGACCCATCGCGACTCCATGGACAACATCCCTCCAGGTCTTTCTGTCCTCTACCATCCCCTGGAGTCCATTTGATCACTGGAATGCTGCAAAGATCGTTAACTGTGAAAAACAGTCATAAGTCACATTTCTCAGTCCCGTTGCAAGTTTGAACGATCACTAAATGAACCCTTGTTAAGTCGAGGCCTACCTGTACACACAGACACCCACTCACACTAGTATTCCAGTAGCCCTGGCAGAAAGCAGAACCAAATGGTTTCTCCCAGTGGTGAAATATAAAATTTGTTACTACCGGTTCTGTGGGTGTGGCTTGGTGGGGGGGTTTAATGTGATTGCGTAGGCGTGGCCAACTTCTTTTTTTTTTTACTTTTAAAAGCATTTTTTCTACAAAGGAAGAGGTTGTAGAAAAAATGCTTTTAAAAGCCTCTGACGATCCCAGCTGAGCCGCGCGATCATCAAAGACTTTTTTTTTACTTTTTAAAAGCATTTTTTCAGCTGAAGAGAAAAAATGCTTTTAAAAGTAAAAAAAAAAAAAGCCTCTGATGATCCCCTGGCTCAGTTAAGCATGGGGAGGGGGGACGCAGGGATTTTTCGCTATTGGATCCGGCGATCCGGTCCAAACCGGGAGCATTTCACCCCTGGTTTCTCCCATCACCAACCCAGCTGGCGTAGGCCTGGAAACCACCATTCCCAGTTGGCGGATGGGTTGAAAACATGGGGATCAGGAAAACATGTCCAGAGTGCCTCTTGAAGGGAGGGGGGTTCTCCCAGAAGCCCCCCCCCAAAGCTCAATTTAGGGAAGAACAAGCTTTTTTTTTGTTTTTTTCAACCCTTTGAGCACACCTTCCCCATACTCTTCAACAGCTCCATTCATTCCCACAACCCACTAAATCTGATTCACGGTAACCATTGCTTGTGGGGGCAGAGAAGCCTGACTAGGTCGATCAGAAAGGTGTTCGGCGGTTCGAATCCCTAGTACAGGTCTCCTGCGTGAGCAGAGGGGGGGGGCTGGACTAGATGACCTCCAAGGTCCCTTCCAACTCTTGTTACTGTTTAAAGGGGGTTTATATAGCACGGTGCAAACCCAGCCAGCCAGCTCAGAGTTCAAGAGTTCCCTTTGCCTTGCAGGGCTGCAAAAGAGGCCGACCAGATCCCGTCTGAATACCGACCCCCCTCCTTTTTTTCTTTTCCCGGACCCCAACAGGGCCGGGTTCACGCCCGGTTTTCCCGCCTTTGTGGCGCCGCTTTTTTTTTTTTTCTTCCCCTTTCTCTTCTTCCCGGTTTTTTCCCTTGGCGCCCCGTCACAATACCCGCCGGGCCAACCCAACAATCCCGTCCCGCCGCCGCCCTCCCCGCAGCCGAGATTGGGCAGAGCCAGCAGGGTGCGCCGCGTGTGGATGCTGCCCGCGGGGACCGGACCGGAGGCGGAGAAGGAGCCAGAGAAGCCGCCGCCGCCGCCGTCACCACCACCACCCTCCGCACTCGCCGCTGGCCCAGCGCCCGCCCGTCAATCCCAGGCGCCGCCGCCGCCGCCGCTTCCCGCCGAGCCCCGGCCCCTGCTGCCCCCGCGCGGCCGCCACCCAATCGCCCGGCTGGGGGAGCGGCGCGGGGCGGGGCTGGAGTTGTCCGGGCCGTCACCACCACCACCGCCGCCGCTGCTGCTGCCTGCGGCCGCCGCTTCAGCTGGAGCCGGCGGGGAGAAGCAGCAGCAGCCGCCGCCATGGAACAAAAGAAGCGCTGAGGCGAGCTCGGGCCGTGGCGGCGGCAGCACCAACAGCAGCGCCCTCAGCGTCGCCAGCGGCGGCGGCGGCAGCAGCAACGCCCAGGCCGCCCCCCAAGAGACAGCAGCGGCGGCGGAGGAGGAGGAAGAGGAGGAAGCAGCAGCGGCCGGAGAGCCCGCCGCCGCCGCCGCCGCCACCACAGCATGTCTCCCGGGCCCGCGTAGCCGGAGCGCCTCGCCGTCCCCTTCTCCTCCTTCTTCTCCGCCTCCTTGGCCGGCCATGCCGAGCGGCAGCGCCTCGCCGTCGCCTCCCGAAGAGCCTCCCGACCTGCCGCTGCCGACTGCCCCGCCCAGGCCGCCGCCGGGCCTGCTGCTCCAGTACCACGCTCAGCCGCCTTCGCCGCCGCCGCCGCCGGCTTCCCCTCAGCCGCCGCTGCTGCCGGACACGGGGCTGCTGAGGGAGCGCCTGGCCGGCTTGGGCCTGAGGGAGCGCGGGGAGCCGGAGGAAGAAGACGACGACGACGAGGAGGAGGAGGAGGAAGAAGAAGAGGAGGAGGAGGAGGAGGAGGAGGCGGCGCCTGAGGAAGGAGAAGAAAGAGGCGGCGGCGGCGGCGACTTGGAGCTGGACTTGGAGGAGCCGCCGGAGGACGAGGAAGACGAGGCCGCCGAGGAAGAGGAGGAGGAGGAAGAAGACGACGACGACGACGACGAGGGATTCTTGGAGCCCCGCGGTGGCGGCGTCTGCGGCCCGGCCTCGCTGCTGTTGCTGCCCCCGCCGGCCTCCTCGCCGCCGCTTCTGCCCCCGGGGCTGGGCTCGGTGTTGTTACCGCCGGCGGTCTCTGCTCTGCCGCTCGCCGCCGGCTCGGCCTTTGAGGTGGCCGAAGCCGGGGCGCTGGGCGGGGCGCTCTACGGGCCCGGCGACGATGTCCACGCCGGGGTGATGGCGGCGATGCTCTCGCAATCCTACGGGCCGCCCGGATCGGCGGCGGCGGCGGCAGCAGCGGCGGCGGCGGCGGCGGTGGTAGCCGGGATGCCCCCCGGGTCGGTTTTGAACGGAGAGCAAGCGGCGCTGCTGCGAAGGAAGAGCGTCAACACGACCGAGTGTGTCCCGGTGCCCAGCTCCGAGCATGTGGCCGAGATCGTGGGCCGGCAGGGTGAGTTGTGGCAAGCGTGGGGCCTCGAGGTCTCGAGGCTGGGAAGAGGGGATTCCTCCCTCGGCGGGTGGGGATGGTGGGGGGAATCCTGCATGTCGGAGTGGGGACCATGTTACAGTGATTTCTCCCAGATTGGGGACTCCAACTCCCATCGACCCCAGCTGGGGAGGAAGATGGGAGTCCGATCCCAAAGCACTGGAAGGGCACTGGATGATTTTTTAGAGGTGGTGGGGTGATAAAAGATGAGCAAGTGGAGGAGAAAGGATGGCAGGACAGCTTCCCCCCAAAAAAGCTGGAAAAATTGGAATTCCTTCCCCTTACACGTGTTCACTTTGGGAGTTGTGAAGATTTGCTTTGAGTATCTTTTAGCTGTGAAAAGTTTGGGGGAAAGGGTTGGGTCTGAACGGGTGGAAATTAGGGGGCCCTTAAATGAAGAGGCGATTTGGAATAAAATAAATGCTGTGCCCCTCCTTGGGGTGTGGATAAATTGGTGTTCAAAACTTAACTTCTGGATTGCAGCATTGCATGCTGAGTAAGAGGAAGTTTGGCCTGGATCGGGACTGTTAGGTTGGGAATGTGGCTGGGAGAAAGAAGTAGGGAAATGGCCTGCCTCCAGATCGGATCAATCTAAATTTGACAAAAGGATTTTTAACAGAAGAACATGTCTAGATGGGAGGAGTGGAGGGAAATATGATGAAATTGTAAACGAAGCTTGGTTTTCAAGGGATGAGAAATGGCCTTGGAGGTAGAACAGCTAAGAGCAGTGACACCTTGAAAAATGGGTGTGGTTTGTAAGGAAAGAACTGGGAAACAAACCTTTTATATCCAGGAGGCTTCCACCATGTTGAGCAACATTTGTTGATTGTATTTTCAGAGCAATGGTTATAGAGTGCTAGGGAAACTTGAAATTTCACTACCAAATAACTATTCAGTTACATGGTCCCATGTTTTGGGGAGGAACAGCCAGACAGAATATTCACAATCCATCCCAATACATCATGACACAAAAGCACAGAAAATAAATAAATATTTGGTATGGGATATATATATATACCAACGAACATGGTATATCCATGTTCTTTGAATGGATAGAAATGAATGGTATGGGATAAGGAAAGGATATATAAGTTTACACCAGCACAATTCATTGTATATGGAGTTGTCATGTAGTGACCACAATTGAGACTGTCAACTGGCAATTGAGTCATTAAGCAATGTGGTCGCTAAATGAAACCATGGCTACTATGCTTGTGATCTGACTTCAGTTTCTTTAGCTTAGAGACCTGTGAAGACTGTAAATGTGAAGTTTGAACTGAATTGAATTGAACCTTATTTGGCCAAGTGTGATTAAATACACAGAGAATTTGTCTCTGGTACAAAAGCACTTGATGTACATACAAAGCAATAGAATAATCATAATCATAATACAGCAAAAGGGGAGGCGGTAAGGAAGATAATAAGGATAAATAATAATACTAGTTTGGTCGTAAAGTTACTTTTTCATTACTGTTGTTAACTGAACAGTCATTGTATAAGTCAGTTGTTAAGAGAGGACGGCCTGTAATAAATTATTAAATTATAAGTAAATTATTAAATTATAAGTAAATTATTTTCTATGCACAATAGTCTTAGGTCTTAAAAAATAGTTTTAAGAAATCTGTATTTTGATTCAGAAGCACCAACTCAATAAAGAGAATCTGGATTGAGAGATTTTTGTGAACTTGCCTTTTTAATAGAGAAGGTGACTGACCTATAACTTGGGTTTCCTTATTCTGCACAGTGTTCTGACTCACTAATTGTGGTTGGATGTTTTCCTTTTTTTTTTCTCAATTGGGAATATTTTCTATCTAGCCTGGATTGTTTCTAAGCAGAATTAGGCTCCTTGTTTGCAAATGAACTATTAGCCTTTCAGCTAACACTGAACACAATCATGGCTGGTTCTTCTGTTTAAAATGAGGAATCATCAGATCAGAAGAATTCTTGCTAGGCAAACAACCACTAAATGAGGCAATCGCTAGAGGGAATGGGAAAGGGAAGAGGGAATTTAATTTTCATGGGACTTATCCTTGAATTTTCTTGATGGAAAGCAAGCCTGCAGATTGGGCCAGATGATAGTTGAGCAGAGCAAACGCCACAAAATGAAAGTGGTTTATAAGATGCTTCATGGAGCATGAAGTTTCACCAAAAGTGGCTGTCTAGCTCCTGGGTGGGGATCTGGGAATTAATTCAGACCCCATCCAAATTTTTAGCCCCTGTTCTTGACCAGTGGTGGATTTCCAATATTCTTACCACTGGTTCGCCGTGCACATGCTTGCTTCGCGTGCGTCCCTCCCACGCATGCGCTTTGCTTGCTCGTGCACCTTCTGTGCATGCGCCTGGCCTCAAAAATGTGCCTAAATAGGATGGCATAGAGCTGGGGCGGGTGGACGATTTCTGCTACCGATTCACCCGAAACCGGTACGAACCAGCTGAATACCACCTCTGTTCTTGACATATATGTCATGTACTTGTCCATTAGCAGTAAAAGTAACTTATTCTGATGCAGTCCATCAAAGTCCATTTAGACAGCCAATTTGGTACAGAGATTAAGGCACCAGACTAGAAACCAGGAGACTATGAATTCTAGTCCCACCTTAGACATGAAACCTTGGGCTAGTTTCTTTCCACCCTAAGAGCAAGGGCAAATGACTTCCCAAAATTGTTTGCCAAGAAAACTGAAGGGTCTATTATTGTGTAGGTAACTGTCAAGGAACCACACTGACTCAAACCTACACACACACACAGTATATATAAAGCAGAATGCTCAAAAACTAAAAATAAAAGAATAGACTTAATATAAAGTATCTTCTCAATTAACTTTTCCACTTTCATTATATTTATTTATTCAACTTCTGTAGCCACCCATCTCAATCCAATTGACAAATTTAGTTGAGACAACATAGGAGAAGAAAAATTCTAAACACACCTGCGCTACTTTTATGCTTTATATATGTAGTTTTTGAAATTACAGGAGCTGATCACATCCAGCAGTGGTGGGAAATGAAAACCTATATCTAGCTGCTGTTGTGATGGCCTTGTCCTGTCTAATATTTCTGAAAGCACCTAAAATGATCCAGAGACTGTGGCCTGTAAGAACCCTCTGCCCTTATACAGTAGGGAAAAAAAGAAATGAAAACAGGAAGTAGGAGATTTGTCATATACTGGTAACATGGAAACTGAGTGGTTATATTAAGCAGTGGCTGAAAATTATAAGGACCAAATTACAGAATAAAAGCAAAATGCCAAAAGAATTTCAAAGGAGAAATAATAATGAGGCCAGGGTAGAAGACAAGGAACCTGAACAAAATTTGTTCTAAAATGAGGAAACTAGCTTTTTTATTTATTTTTTAATGTTTGCCCATTTTTAGTATCAAGTTTTATTGTGAGAACTGGGTGGCTAAAGACACAAACTGGTCACTTTAACTATAGTTACATCTCATATAGAAACTTCCCGATCTGTTGGTTTCAGAGGAAGGACTCCACAATTTTTATAGTAAATAAAATATCCACAAATATCCAAGATATATCCACTTTGGGATATATCTTTTTATGGATTAATGAAAGATACTTTAAAAAGGACTTAGTCTAGCCTACATTACATAATACATATTCTGCTACAGACACAAATACAGAATACCAGGCCAGAGTTCACATCAAAGTGGAATTACAATATTTGGCAGAAGCAACTTCATTCACTTGGTTAAATGGGTGGAGCCTGTCTGTATCCAGTCACAGCATTTCTAGCAAAAAGGATTTCCAGGAAATAGGATTGGAAACATTAGAGAAGATGGGTAGACCAATAGTTAGTTAGTTTAGTTAGTTTATTGAATTTATATACCGCCCTACTCCCGAAGGACTCAGGGCGGTGAACAGCCAAAAGACAAAATACATGTAATACAAATGTTAAAAAACCATTAAAATACGATTAAATAATTTGGCCCAGAAAACAAAATTTAAAAACCCCAATTTTTATACGACAAATTTAAAATTTAAAAAATTTAAAAAACAGTTTAAAAAAGAGGTTAGGCCAGACCAGCCTGCTGGAATAGGAATGTTTTGAGGGCACGGCGGAAAGTGCGCAGATCAGTGATCCTCTGTATCTCTAGGGGGAGCTCGTTCTAGATGGCAGGTGCTCCCACAGAGAAGGCTCTCCCCCTGGGGGCCGCCAGTCGACACTGTTTCACCAACAGCACCCTAAGAAGCCCCTCTCTGTGGGAGCGTACTGGTCGGTGAAAGGCTACTGGTGGCAGAAGGCAGTCTCATAGATACCCCGGTCCTAGGCCATGGAGCGCTCTAAAGGTGGTAACCAAAACCTGAAGCGCACCCGGAAGACCACCGGGAGCCAGTGCAGCTCGCGCAGGAGGGGGGTCACATGGGAGCGCCACATCGCACCCATAACCACCCGCGCGGCCGCATTCTGGACCAGCTGGAGCCTCCAGTTGCTCCTCAAGGGGAGCCCCATGTAGAGAGCATTGCAGTAGTCCAGGCGGGAAGTGACGAGGGCATGAGTGACCGTATTTAACGAATCCCGATCCAGAAAGGGACGCAACTGGCGAATCAGGCAAACCTGATAAAATGCCCTCCCGGCCACAGCCGTCAGATGCCCTTCTAAAGACAGCTGTGAGTCCAGGAGGACACCCAAGTTGCAAGCCCTCTCCGTGGGGGCCAACGACTCACCCCCAATAGTCAGTGATGGCACCAACTGACTATATCGGGATGTCGGAAACCACAGCCACTCGGTCTTGGATGGGTTGAACCCGAGTCTGTTTCTCCCCATCCAGATCCGTACAGTCTCCAGGCACCGGGACATCACTTCAAGGGCAGCATTGGGGTGGTCCGGGGTGGAGATGTACAGCTGGGTGTCATCAGCGTACTGGTGGTACTTCACCCCAAAACCACGGATGATCTCACCCAGCGGCTTCACATAAATGTTGAACAGAAGGGGCGAGAGGACCGACCCT